CTACACCAATGTCTCTCAGATTTGTCCCAGTGTTTTCCAGGAGCTACAGAGGCACAAGTAGCAGGTAGAGAGCCAGCGCTCAGACACCTGTTCATCGCCATTCAGAACATAACTTGCTGCTCACACCGCGACCAATTTCTCAGACAACTGTGTTGGCCATGCTGGGTAATATCATAGCACATGCTAGTCAAGCTAAGGACAAGTCACAAGAAGGAAGCAGAGGCTTCTCCAAGATCCAGGAATGTTGAGAGCGTCAGTGAACATGAAGTACATATAAAATTGGTAGAAGAATTTCAACACATTCAGATTAATATGGAAGTCCAAAAAAGTACATTCATACAAAGGAGGAAAAATGTTTTATGGGCATATGTACAATTTCAGGCTGGCTCTTAAAAAAGGTAATTCTCCATGACCAATATGTACATGCATCATCTGCATGTATCGTTCTGTTCTTTTCTAAAATCTCCACTAAATTTACAAAGGTAAATTACACACTAAGCATAGAAAGGTCCTTGGTCTCCTTCCTCTTAGTTCATGGACAGTGACTTCACTTTTAAACATGTCCTCATGTTCTGTGCTGATACCATCATATCCTGAGGCTGACCCCTCTTTCATTGGTCTGACAATAAGAAGACAAGACGTCAGTTCAGGGCAGTCTCTGTGGGTGTGTCTAACTGGTTGTCTGAGCAGCACAGAACAAAACACTCTGCTGGAGCAGGACACACTGAGACTCTCTCCTGTTCCTGCACTAATAACACCAGGGCCCTCCCTCATGCAAAGTGGGACCTGGTCTCAGAATGAATGAAAAACCCTGGGCCCAGGAGCCCTTTCTCCTTCTCATCCAAAGCCTTGTCAGAGAATGGAGGTTCTGAGGCTGCTCCTCTACCTGCTGACTGCTCCCTGCTGTGAATTCTTAGGGATTCAGGACAGGACCTAGATGTACGTTAAGGGTGTGTTTGCCTAACATTATGCTCCTGTCTTCAGGTGTCTTGTCCCAGGTGCAGCTGCAGGAGGCACCCTGGCCTGGTGAAGCCCTCTCAGATGCGTTCCCTCACCTGCACTGTCTCTGGATTCTTCCTGACCAGCAATAGTGTACACTGGGTCTGTACAACTCTAGGAAAGGGCCAGGAGTGGGTTGGAGTGATAGGTAGTAGTGGAAGCACCTCTTATAACCCAGGCCTGAAATTCTGAGTCAGCATCTCCAGGAACACCCCCCAAGAACCATGTCTATTCGAGTTTGAGCAGCCTGATGCCCAAGGACACAACCATATATTACTTTGAAGACATAGTGAGGGGATGTCACTGTAAGCCCAAACACAAACCTCCTACTTGTGGACAGGAGAGAGTGAGCTCCAGGAGGCACTAAGGATCAACTTCAAAATTAAGAAGAAATGCAGCAGGAGCAGAGAGTTGAGAAATGGCTTCCTGTGGGATCATGGATTTCCTCCTTTCTTCTAGGTCTACGATACCCCCAGAGACATTTTTTAATTTGTTATTTTTGTTTCTCTATATTTTCACTTCTCACTTCAGACAAAGAATAAAGAAGTATGGTTCTCCACTTATGATGCATTAGTAGAATTCTTCTCTTCACCAGGTTCTTGTCTAGCTCAATTTTCATTCTTTAAAATCAGATCATCTTCTCTGACCACAATGCAATTAAACTTGATGTAAATAATACAAAGAAACCTCAAAATGCACAAAATCATGGAAACTAAGCAATGATCTTCTGATCAACCACACAGCTACTGAAGAGGTTAATACTCAAGTGAATAGAGTCTGACTTGGTTGTTGATATCAACAGACATGAACACATGGCTCTTCATAATCTGTGGGACACAGCTGATGCAGTCACAGAGGGAAAAGCAGTTAGTGCTGACAAGAACAAAATAGAAAGGTGGCAAATAAATAACATAACAATGCATCTCAAGAAACAAGGAAAGCACATTAATGTCAAAAAGAAATAATAAAGACTAAAATTGATATAAATGAAATCACATATTAAGAAAATTGCGCAAAAATCAATGAAACAAACAGTCGCATTTTTGAGAGAATAAACAAAATTGACACATTGTTAACTAGATTTGTCAAGAAAAAACTAAGAAATGAGCCACAAAAATAAAATCAGCAACAAAGCTGACAATATTATAATGGGTATATCAGAAATACAAAAAATCATGAGGGAATTCTATCAGCAAGTAGATGTCAACAAAGTAGAAAGCCTAGAAGAGATGGACAAATTCCTGGACACATACAAGTAACCTAGAGTGAGTAAGAAAGAAACAGGAAGCCTGAATAGACCAATAACAAGCAGCAATAATGAATTGATAACAAATAGTCTCTTAGCAAGGAAAAGCTCAAGTCTTGATGGTTCCACTTACAAATCTACTAAACTTTGAAGGAAGAATTAACACCAATTCTCCTCAAGTTATCTGAAAATACGAAGGTAATAAAGCTTTCCAAATCATTCTATGAACCCCCAGTTATCTAGGTAGCAAAAGTAGATGAGGACATAACAAAAGAAAACAACAGGGCAATATCCAGGATGAATATGGATGCAAAAATCCTCAAGAACTTGCTAGCAAGTTGAATCCAACAGCACAGCTAAAATATTATAAAACATGACCATGTACCTTTATCCCAGGAATGCAAGGATGGCTCAACACATGTAAAACAATAAATTTAATACACCACATTAAAGGAAAGAGT